CGCTACCGGGAGGGTGACCGACGGCGGCATGGCGCGAAGGAAGAAGGGTGCGCGTCGTGTTGCTGCAGAAGCGCAGCAGGGCCAGCCAACCGCAAGCGCAACCGGAACCGCAATCCAATTGACGCGTCCAAGATGTTTTATTTATCCGCCCTTGTGGAGCACTTCGAGTGTGCAGTCGGCAGCCTCACATCCAGGGCCGGGGGGAGCTAAGAAGCGCACCCAGCGAGCCAGATGATGCATCGCGCACCCATTCCTTTTCTTTCCCCACACACAGAGTACTCTGGATAGATCGACTCGCCAAAGAGGCGCTGCGCCTCGCGCTCGTTGTCGAGGCACTGTTCGCGATGGGTCACATACTTGGCCTCCTCGCTCTCGAGGATCGCGCCGACCACCTTCGCGGCGATCCCCATCGACATGTATTGTCCGGGGCAGTAATAACGGCTGATGTGACCGTCCTTGGCGCTAAAGCGGTCGACACCGAGCATCTTGCTCATGTTGTACCCGGGGAAGACGTTCGTCGCAGGGTCGATCTCGTAGAACAAGTCGAGCGGAGCGCCGAACACGAGCGACTTGTGCCAATCAGGGCGCTCTGGATCGAAGGTGTTGGGCCGCTGGAAGGCGCGTGGATCGCGGTTGGCCTGGTACAGCGCATACCTCTCGAGCAGACCTGTGCCGGCATACAAGATGCCGCTCCTCTCGGAGTCTCCGAAGGCGTCGGGCGCCTGTCGCTTCACGTACGAGACGTTCACCTTCTTCGTGTCGACGAGCGTCGTCGACATGCTGCTCGGCGTGCCGAGGCGGAAGATCTCGAGCAGCGCCTTCTCCGGATCCCGTTTAAAGTGGGCCTTGATCTCGTCGTCCTCGAGTACCTGCCTCGCCGCCGCCTCGATCTGCGTCGCGAGGAAGCCGAGCTGCTGCGTCACCATGTCCGAGAGCATCTCCGACGAGTACAGGTCGAGGAAGTTGCCCCACGTCTCCGCGTTTTGCTGGCGCACGAGGTCGGCGATGGGAGCCTGCTTGTAGTGGTACTTGAGGTCGCGCGTGATGCCGTTGCGCGGGTTCTTCCAGTCGACCGCGTCGCAGTGGGCGAAGCGGCGGGTGTACGCGTCGATCGGGAGACCGCCGCGCCGGCTCTGCATCTCGCGATTGTACAGCGTGTTGTCCTTGCACTTGAGCGACTGCGCGATCCCGATGGCGGTGTGGTCCGCCATCGGCAGACCGGTGACCCACGTCGTGCCGAGGCTGATCACCATCTCAAAGGTGTGCGAGATGTTGAGCTGCCCCTTTGCGCCGAGCCTCTCAAACTTGGCAGAGAGGTTTGGCGGCTCCCAGCCGTTGTTCTTGCCAAAGCCCGTGTTTGGCGGCATGAGACGCATCAAGAAGCGCTTAAAATTGCGGTGGTCCTCCTTGGACTGCGTCGGCGGGTAGTCAAAGAGGGCAGAGTCCACACCGCCCGACGAGTGCAGGCCGTCGTGCAGCCGCGACTGGCCGTCGGAGCCCTCGAACTCGTCTCGATCGTACTCGGACATTGTGAGGCGGCGGCACGTCTCGTACTGGTAGCCCTCGCTGCGCTGCAACCCGGGAGGAACCGACTCGAACACGTAGCGCGGCGCGAGGCACGTCAAGCGGTCTCGGAGCAGGTCCATGTCCGCAAAGTGGTGGCGGGTGAGGTAGATGGCGTCGTCCTTCTCCTGCATCTTGACGAGCCAGGTCAGCTGGTTGAACTCGTGGTTGCTTGTGTCAGGCACGCCATTGAGGTCGTCGATGGTCGTCTGGTAGAGAAAGTCTGTGCGCTTGACTGCATGCTCGAGGTGAGCGCCACCGAGGTCGTCGGAACGGCGGTACGATTGCGAGAGCATCGGGCATCGGCCCGTGCTCCGCTTGATCTGACTCGTGGCGGCGATGAGGCTGCCCATCGTCGAGCTGCCTGCCACCCAGCCGAACTTGCTCTCGAGGAAGGAGTTGGCGACTTTGAGCTCGAAGGTGCCGCCCAGGACGTCGCCGCCATCGAAACGCGTCTCGTACATGATGTCGACCATCGAGACGCTTGTGAGCCAGCGATGGCCGGGATGGCTGGCGGCGCGCCAGCGGTACGCTGAGCTCTTGGCGCCATGCGACCAGAGCACCTGAGGACGGTCCGTGTCGACCGCGGACCAGAGCAGCTGCAGCGTGCCGTCGGCGGAGCAATCCAGAGCGACGCTCGCGTTCACCGACGCAGATTCGACGAGCGCAAGTTCGTACGGGTAGAGCGTGCTCGTGTTCGTGTCGAGGAAGCCAACCGCCACGTTGGGCTGGCCGGTGATGGTCATCGAGAGGGTCACGCCGGCGCACGATGGCTTGGGGAGGTCGAGAACCTGTACACGAGCGCACGGAGAGTCAGGGCGTGCTTGGAGCCATCTCAAGTTCTGTTGCTCACCGGGATCGAGGCCGCGTCTGGCACGAACACCGACTCGAGGAGCTCGGAGACGCCGCCAGAGCCGTACGACGACAGAGCAAAGGCCGAGCAGCCGAGACTGAACGCCACGCTGAGGAAGACGCACAGCAGCTTTGACGTCGAGCAGAACTTGCCGAAGCGGAGGCCGGAGCGCGTCGAGGTCGGCTCGGTCTCCTCCACGGTGCCCTGGAGAGTGCGGACGAGGGTGAGTCACGAGCAGGGCGCGCTGCACGGGCAAGGCAGTACGCGCCGAGGGCGTGGTCGACGACGGCGGGGCGACGTCGACAGACGCCTTGCCGGAGCCGACGCCAGCGAGGTCTTCCTCGTCGACAGACGCGTTGCCGGAGCCGACGCCAGCGAGGTCTTCCTCGTCGACGTCCGTTCCGAGCAGCGCCGCGAACCCGTTGGGGTCGACGCGGCCGATCGGGGTGAGGCTCTTCGTGGTCTTCTTGGAGCGGTCGGTCAGGTTGGACTCGCCCTTGCGCTCGATCTTGCGGAGCGGGGAGGGGGTCTTCCACTCGTCGATGCCCTGCACGCGACGTGCGGCAGAGGTCACAGGATCAATATAAGTGCCCGCCTGTGGGACTACCATGTCACGCAATACCCGCGTGTGCAGAGAAAGGTGGTGGGAGGCGCACACCGCCGGGGCGGCCGCCTTGGCTCCGAGGAGCGAAGTGGCCTTGGCCTTGTCCGAGTCGACCGTGCCCGCGGCGGGCGCCTCTGCCGCGGCCAGGTCTTTCTTGAGGATGCTC